GGGGCAGGGGTATAGGCCTGTTCGCCACTCTTGCGTCCATTTTTCAAAACTAGAGCTCCCCAGTGAGATAACCGTACCGTCCTCCGTCCTCCGTTCTTCCTCGTGCCCTGCGCCCCCATGTGCCCCCGCGCCCTGCCCGCCTCGTGCTGCGCTGTCGAGTTGTGTGCTCTGCTCACGGCACCGCCGCCCGCCCGCCGCGCGAGAGAAGCTCCACTGGCGGGTGGCTGCGGCGCCCTCCACCCTGACAAATGAAGACAGCGGCAGTATCATGTCCCCCTTCCACTCCTCCCCAGGCCCTCTCGTCTATGGGGCTCTTACTTCCCCTCTGCCCCCCCCCCTCTCTCTCTCTCTCTCTCTCTCTCGCCCACACAACAAGCAGAGCGGCAGCCTCGCATGTCTCACACGCGTGGACCCCTTCGCGGCCTCGTGACCGGGGGGGTCACTCGCCGCACACTGTTTGGAAATAAAACCAGTGCTGACGCGGAAGGTGACACTGGCAAAACATTTACAATGATCATATTTAAAAACTGTACTTTTTAGAATTGCTTATTGTAAAAGTGGCTGCTCTGGAAACCCAAGTGTGTACATGTATGCGTTAATGGCTGCATGCCTATGTACACTGTACGCACTATTTGCTGCAAACACGATCATGTGCGCAGTATTTGCTGCACACATGTTGGTATTCAGCGAATAACGCATCCATGTACACACTTGGGTTTCCAGAGTGGCACGAAATTATAGTTTACATTTAATGATCGTGGGGTTTATATTTTACAGTGGAATAAATTTTGTTGGCGATGAGTCTCTGACGAGACCACGAGATCAATCGTCTGCTACCCGACCCGCGAGTCATGAAAAGGATGTGCAAGAGTTGCTTTTCCCATGGATGGGGGCACAGCAGAGTACTTTGGGTAGTACGTACTCGTTTTGCTTTGACGCGGAGGGAGTGTGGGGAGGGTGGTGGGAGGTGTTTAGTAAGGAGTGCCCCCTCTAGTCTGGGCCGCTAAGCCCGCCCTGGGAGCGGACCAGAGCCAAGCGAGTGCCCTGCTGCGAGGGGGTTAACAGTTCCGGAGTTACCCTTGCTTGCTCTGGTCGGTCCTGCCCCCCCCCCCTCCACCATCATGTAGTAGTAGAATTGCTAAGCTGCAAAACTTTTCAAACCGAACTTTTCCGCAAGGACAGGGAGCAAGTCTCCCCCCCCCCCTCCAAACCCTACCGTTACGCCATCGTAACGAGACCATAACGAACGGCGGGAAAGCGTAATCTCCAGAGCGAACAGGAATGAAAGTAACCTAAGTTGTTCATTTCTCACGATTTTTACAGCCAATTTTCCGCAAAATACTTATAGGGGTTTCGATCATCTTCTCATTGTACCACAAATTAATTTGAGTCTATGGCTCTGTAACCACGTTCTGCACTTGCTCCAGTCTGCCTGTGCTGGGTAGAAGATTTGGAAACAAAGAGGGAAAAGAGAGAGTTGCGAATATTGCAACTTTATTTTCAATTGCGATTGTTTTGTGCTGTTCTATGGACTTTCAGCGCGCCTCACCAGCAGAGGAGAAAGAAAGGCGGGGGAGGTCGAGTAGACGCAGGTTCGGAGGTACTGTCCAACACCCCCCCCCCCCCCCAATTCTCCCCTTGTGCATTTAATTTACTGGTGAGAGGAAGGGAAAAAGTGTGGAAAATTGCTCGTCAGTCCGGGAGACGACTCAGCAGCCCAGTGGCTCGGCTCCAGGGCGGTCCAAACAGAAAATTCGATTTCGCAACGACTACTTCCGGAGTAGTTTGCTGGGAGAGGGAAATCAAATAGTCGCGACTGCTTCTGCTGAGCTGATTATCCAAAAGAGTGAAAGAAAGAAAGAAAGAAAGAAAGAAAGAAAGAAAGAAAGAAAGAAAGAAAGAAAGAAAGAAAGAAAGAAAGAAAGAAAGAAAGAAACTATGAGTCGAGGAGAGAATGGGGGGGGGGGGAGGAAGGCAGAAGTAGGAGAATATGGCCCTAGGGTGCGATTCGGCCATCAGACGGAATGGCCTGCTTCTGCACCCCCGCCCCCTTCCTCCTTTTCCCTAATCCCATTCTCATTCGCGTACTACTTCTGCAAGACAAGCGGGCACATCGCCGTGTTCACCGTGTCACGCGGCTATGTGCAGCCTCCTGGCCCCTCTGTCCTCGGACGGCGTCTGAATCACCAATAGCCTCTAGCTTCCGTCGGAAAAACAAAGGTGCTCAGCCGTACCTTTTAAAGGCACTACAGGTTGAGTAGGCACTGAAATTGGCAAAGGCACCCTTTTTCAGCACCTTCACGGGCTGTTTAATAGTTGTGCCATTTATAGGGGTCCTAAACCTCGTCCTAAACTGAAAATGTCCTCAGCACCCGTTGAAAGGGGTGACTTACATACTTAGCACCTTTGTTTTTTCCAGTGTTTCTACGCCGTTCCCGCGCTTCCACCTACCTCCCACCCCCACCCCTCTCTCTCCTTCTCTATCCGCTCGCAGGCCCTACCGACAGCCCCGTGAATAAGAGAAAATCGTTTTGCAAATTATTGTGCCCCACCGAAATAAGTGAGAGAAAAGAGAAGGGAGTTGGGGGTTGGTGTGGTGGATGGGATGGGAGGGATGAGATGGAGGGGGGACGGGAAGGGGGTGGGGGTGCGGGACGGTAGAGGGGGTTGAGTGGAGTGGAGAGGGGTGTCCTCCTGGCCGCTGCTGGACCAGAGGCGCGCCCGTCGCGATACGGTGCGAGAAAATAGGAGTGCGATAAAAAGGGAAAATGTACTGCAGCTGGTCGACTGGGAATGAAGTTGGGTGAGGAGGTTGGGGGGAGGGGCGTCAGGTAGTGTGCCACTGCGCCGGCCGGCTGGCGTATGGTGGAGCATGAGGGTATGTGGAGGTCAAGAACCTCTGGGCCATGGGGTCGGCAGCGCGTTAGGGGACCCTAAGCAAACAGGCGCTGGGGTGGCCTACGGGCAAGCGCACGACGGCAGTGTGCTTTTGCAGGCCTCGCAGATACACTGCCGTATTAACTATTTTATTTATCAGCTGCTTTTGTCTCTTTCAGTACAAGCTGCATGATGGATATGGTCTGTAACATAAGCATTTTGCTAAGGACAAAAAAGTGTGCTTTATTGTCGTAGGTCTGTATATTACGATTATACGACAGACATTCGACATATGATGAAAAGTACCACTTCACATTATTTTCAACTAAAGTAATCTGTTAGGGATTTTAAATCATCGATGGTATGGTAGACGAGTAGACAATCGAATTTTGGAGTTATGGGACTGGATTTTTTATGGTCAATTTACCAAAACCAAATCAATTGAAAAGTGACATACTATTTTTAGGACGTGGACGCATGGATCGGTGAAAAACTGTCGGGAATATAAGAGCTGATAGGGGAGAAACAGAGGCGGGGGAGGGGGGGGGGGGGGGGGGGGGGGGGATAGGGTGGAAGGGCGGGGGAGAAAGGGACAGAGAGAACAAAGAATGAGTGAGGGGAAGGAAAATTTCTAAAGGATCGGCCGCGGTCCGAGAAGGGCCTGTCGGCGGCGCCGCACACGCCTGAAAGGGGTCCCGCCCTTCGTGCCACTCTACGCCACGCCAGAGTCACACACCGCTGCCGTTAAATTTCATTACGCCGGGAAAACTTTGCTAATTAATTGCACACGGAGTTTGCAACTGTCTTGTTTGATAAAGAAAAAGTCAGTGACCGCCGCCGGGGGGTCGGTGCGGCGCGCGGGGCGGCGGGTTGAGGCCAGTTATGGCGCGCGAGGCGCGGAAAAGGCTATGAACCCGCGTGGGAAAAGAAAGGGGAAAGAAAAGAGGGGGGGTATAGGCAGCGCCCTTGACAAAAAAAATCTTTGCATATAAAATTTATTATACCCGTTCAGTACGCTGGTGCGGTGCGCCAGGGAGGTGGGGGAAGGGTTGGGAGAGAGGGGGGAGACCACCACACACACAAATCCCCAACGACGACGACGACGACAACCTCCACCGCCGCCGCCACCAGGAGCCCTCTCTCTAACCTCACACCTCAACCCCACGCAGCGCAAACCCTCCGCGACATGCCGAAGGCACCGAAGGCACACGCCATGATTTAGGGGGCGTGTGTGCAGAGAGGTGTGGGAGCCGCAGCCTCGCGCCATTCACAGCGCACAGGGGCGGGGCGCCCGGCGTCA